CTTTCCTAATCCTTATGTTGTTGAAGCCCCATCTCAGATCAAGCTTCGTAAATATGCTAGCTTGTGAGAGTCTGTCGATGAGGTCCGAAAGGTACCATTGCTCTGCAGCGTCCGACCAATAGCCCAACCCATACCTGCTCATGCACAATTAACTTGGCATAGGCCACTACGAATGGAGCATGGGGCAATTGTTGGGGTTATCAGGACCTAATAAACATGAGCGACCAGACAACCCAGGCGTAAGTGACAGTTATCGAGCAACTCACCCGATGAGATATGGTACTGCTCAATGATTACATCAACTTCATTGTCAGTGAGCATGTAATCATACAGAGCAGCTGTGTGTGAATAACCTGTGAGAGAGCCAGTATGAGAATGAGCATAACAAGAAGGACTGTAGAGGTCTGCTTCCTGGAGCTCAAATTGATCTTTGGTGAGATGCCACAGTATACCACCTTTGAGTACAGCTTCTCTGGCATGCATGGACAAGAGGAGGTGGGAGCAATAGTAGACATAAGACTGATAATCCTCTGAAGTGGCATGCCAGTCTGAGGAGTGATGGAGGACATACACAGGAGGCAGCTGTGGCGAATGAGGGATCACATTGAGTGGTCAGGAAGATGGTGTAGAAATGGTATACCATTTTTCACAAGGCCGTGCACAACATCTTCAAGGGAAGGACCCCATTGCATGCAAACAACCTGAACTACATTGATGGTGCAGAAAAGAATGACGAACCAATGTCGCTTGGATGGAGGCAATTTTGTCTAAATGAAGTAGTGGGTTTTGAGACTTATGGCTTCAGAGTGCACCTCAATTCGTAGCTTAGAATCCACATTATCCATGAATGATGGATGGTCATGCTCCAGATTCCAAAGACCGACTTTATCACAGTTTCAGTCGATGAAAGTGATGAAATGACAAAACACCACATCGGCAGGAGGGAGGACAGCTGACACTGCACCATAATCAATAATTCAACAGCACGTCACCTCATCATAAATGTCCAGAACTGGAGAAGAATATGCAGCAGAAGGAACGAATCCATACCTGCAAAACAAGACTCTCATAATATCGAATGATAGATGAGTATCTTTGGTGGTTGGAGCAAAAATGGCAGGGCACATTTCACTGTAAGGATTGCTCAACTGAGGAAGCAATGGGGATGAAGGTGCTGCATAATCATTCCAAGGTGAGTCTGCAAGACCGAAGTCATATGATGGAAGCTGAGCATCATCATTGATGCTCGGTGATGAAATCGATTGGTAGGCTTGTGGGTTCATCAGAATGAACTTACGCCAGACTTCCTCGCAATCAAGGAAGTTTGACATGGGGAAGCCATATATGTCATTGGGATGCACAGAGCGGACAAGGGATGCACGAGAGAGGTCATCAGGAGTGGGCTGATGAATAGTGTGGATGGTGCAGCTGAAACTAAAATCAAATTCAGGGCAGACATCTCACATATTCTCTATATCGTTGAATATCCAATGATTGGAAGGGTAGCTTTGCAGCACCATTGGGATGACACAATACTCGACGAGAGAACGAATCCATTGTTGATGATGAAGGGACCAGTAAAACACATGAGGCAAGTAAGGACTGTTATAAAGCCACTTGCGAGTGTGCCGCCGTGTGGCATCCCAACAATTGTGTTGAGTAATGGTAGCAGTGGAACATATTGTTTGCTGATCCAGATATCACCTCCACAGGAATTGCTGCCATGTCTCACCACAAAGCTGGCCACTACCAGGTTCAGGATTGATGAGACCATCGTCCATGTCAGAGATGGAGCTTAGACCCGAACCAGCGACAAGTGGCAGGTCAGCATTGGCAACAGCACTTTGAACACTGGCTGGCGATGGATGCCAGTCCCGAAGCCACTTGAACCAAGATGGATTGGAGTGCACAAGTGACTATGGGGAACCCCAATATATCCACATAGGGATACCGTGTTTATAAAGGCAGTGCAAATAGGGAATCCATGGATGCATAGCCAATCTAAGGTCGACAATGAAGCCAACGGCATCAGAGGGAGAAAAAGACTCCATCATGGTGATGAATGTGAGAATCTGTTGCAGTGTGGCATCTGGCTCAAGGATGTCCTCAATGGAGATGTTTGAAAATAGATCATGAAGTCAAAGAAAACTCAGAAGCAGCTTTCTGCAGCATTCATACAGCTGGTATAAGCGCCAAAAGTTCACTTGTAGCCATATCGGGTGGGATAGGGGAAGACGATCTTGGTGTATTCCATACCGTAGAGAAATGAGCTTCGACCCCAAAGACAGGACATTACATGTTTGACAGCATCCTCAAGAAATTGCCATTCATGAACGATCACAGGAGATAGACAAAATTGAGATCCAACCTGCTCAATCAGAATGTGCTGGAGGGGGGGCAAGCATGGTTGCAGTGTACAGAAGATGAGTCAGACCAATGCATGCTGTGGATATTGTAATAAGTTTCAATGAAGCAGCGATCCTTGGCTGGCATCAGGGTCATCTGCAATGAGATCAGGGTGAACATTGCTGGGAGCGTGCTGCATTTGAGTCATGTACATGAGCTCATCATGATAAACAATGTTTGGAGATGGCATGGATGACATGCTGAAACAATCCTGTGCATCACTGACATGGATACGTCAATTCACAAAACAGTATAAGGGAAGGAGGACTGTACCAAGACAGGAGACTTAGTAATTGACAGGATTCAGATGTAGAAGCCAGCAGTTGCAGATTGTTGAAGATGACAGCAATGCGACAAGAGGGTTTCAGGGGAAAGAACACATGAGGTTGTTGTGCAGATGTCATGATGAAGATTAGGTCACCAGCGTAAATTGTTACGTTTAGTGTTACATTACTTCATAAGTGCCCGTTCTCCATGGAGAGTGGGGTTAGGTAGGTTAGGGCACGTCGAACAGGAAGGCTGTGGACAAAACACGTAAATATAACAACAGAATGCATCTCAAGCAAATCTGCAAGAGAATGTCGGCCAAGAGGGGAGAAAGACGAAATCGAAAAGCAGGTTCTGAATCGCAATGAGTGAAGACTGCATCGAGTGCAGAAAAAGGAGAGGGAGTTCACGATCCTTGCTTTTACCCTACCATCACATGCACAATTTATGCAAACATGTCGACCACATGGCAAGGAACTGAGAGTGCCGTGGACTGCACGAAGACCTCAGCCACCCAATAGCATCAGCGTGACAAAGAGATGTCAGACTACAGTGAACCAACCATGTTATGTGCTGTTGTTATTTCTGAGACTTGTTGGATGACAATCAGAGTGCCAACATACACATGGGGAAGCACAACGAAGATGAGGAATTGGTGCTATATGCATTCAGTAAGCATGGAGGCTGCATGCATACAGGCAAATACTGACTACAGGTGCAGATCACAGGTACAATCTGACGTTGATGCAGATGGGACACGTGTGTCTACTTTACCAGAATTCCTTTTACATTGTATGTGCATTTCAGAATCAAATACTTGGCATTCCTGCAAGTGAGTTGTTGTTGAACATGCTGAAAGAGTGTGGATAGAGGCCGATGGCAGGCGGTAATGTGGGAACAGAGGGACGGCAACAGGATTCATGAAAAAATGAAGGCGTTATGAAGAGGGTGAAGCAGGTAAGATGACAGAAAAGACTAAGTGCAGATGAGAGCAATTGCCAAAAGAAGAAAAGGGTGGTGAAGAGTTGAACGAGGACACTGACAGGATGATAGGCCGAGAGCTGTATGGGCACAATCAGAAGGATGGTCAAGTGAACAGGGGCTGACAATGAGGAATTCAGCCCAAGAAGGGAGGGAAGTGATAAGCGAAAATCAGACTGAGGTGCTCTATCCAATGCCACAAAGTCAGCCACTGCCTCAGTCTGCAAGGATCAAGTTCAAATCCATTCCATGATGCAAAGACCAGGCAAAGCTGCTGAGCAGTGCGTCAGTTCAAAAGGGGACAGGAAGGGATACATTGAGCAGAGGGAAGGACACGTCGAGAATGATGAAGAGGGTGGGATGATGAAAGAAGCGAGTCAGACATCCACAGCATCTATGCAAAGGAGGAGCACGGCGATGGTGGCATGCAACGAAGCTATGGGATGGTGACAAGTGGGCAAAAATACTTCAGGATCTGGGCAAAAGTTAAGCATGCAGATAGCGAGAACAAATGCAGCCTTCAAATGGAGGAACGAGCTGAATCCTCTGAAAGCGGAGCATACAGCCATACTGTAAGAGAAAGTGGTGAAGTCAGAAGGGGTGAGCAAGAATAAGGAGGCAGATATTGTGCCAGAAAAGCACCTATGATGTGGTGTATGGAATGTTGCGAGACCTCAAAATGAAGTATCTATAGTCGATGATAGAGAGCTGATTGGGAACGTGCTCTTTCGATTTCATAATGGATGTTCAGGATGACAATCAGCCTCATTCATGTCTGTACTATTGTCCAAGGGCCAACATGGGAGCTGGGTCAGAGTACAAAACAAAGTCAGTCAAGGAGTTTCAAAAATCGTTCGAGGGAGCGGTGATGCAATGCTACTCTTGTGGGGTGCCTGCGACGTCAGGCATATTCTAACACAAGTTTGCAAATGAGATTGATTAATCAGGCTGCCACGATGATGGGTTGCAAAACTGGTTCCTCGGTTTGAGCTACATAATCTGGAATTTGAAATACCTATCAAAGCAGCTGTTGCCTTTACTATGCATGGAGAAAAATTTGACGGTCACAAAGCAGCATGTAGCTGGTAGAACACATGGGCAGGAGACACTGATAGACTTCAAGAACAGCGAGGCTGTTGATTTGTTGGACGAGACCAGGCAGTACAGATTGAGCAGATGAGCACCCAACTTGATGAGCATATCGTGAAGTTCTGCTTTAGAAGGAAGGTGATATTGGTTGGAAAAAGAGCAAGGAGTGGAGTGCTGCTGGTAGTGATGGCTGTGGATGTGATAGTGTCAAATGCGTACTCCACAATTTATGCAAATGATGATACGATATACGAGATTTACTCGTGTGCTGAATAAGATGAGACGTGGGCAAAGTTGAGAACCTTCTTCATGCATGAGGTTGCATTGATTATGAGAAACTCATCAAAGTCCATGTATTGCTCTTGAGGAATGTCAGGAATGTGATGATCCTGCACATTGTGATCTTCATCGGCATCATCCTGCACATCACTCAAGAAGGCACCAAGATCATCAACACCACCACATTGGGATGGCGGGCCATAAACAGCTTCATATGAGTGGTCATCAGTATGTCCTTGCCACAAGGAAGTTTCACTTTAGTGACAGAGTGGCAGTTATCAAGTCTGAATGGAATGAATAAGATAACACTGACCTTCACAAGCATCGTTGGATGTATGCGTGATGAAGGGTTAAGATCTTCGATGAGGTCAATGGCTGGTTGTAAAACAACAATGTCATGAGATCATAACATGTCCCGTAGAAGACTGATTTACCAGCAGGAGGACAGCGGGGTATAGGTGAATGGTAAGAAGCATCAGCAAGTTCATCTTCACCGCTAACTTCTTGTATTGCATCCAACCTGTGCTCATCTTCATGGTCTTGGATGGAGGAAGATGCTTGGCCATCAGGTGGAGCATACGGCCATCCAGGGTTTTACAGCAGATCATTGACTGGCAAGTCATCACATCTGGGGGAAATGGGGCCTTTTCCAAAGTGGGTAACATCTGAAATAGCTATAGCGGCCATGGCCAGCATCACTGCAAGTGTTCAATAAACAAAGCAGTGGCATTTGATTCTGCTGAAGATCCAATTGACTGCCACATTCTGATGTGAATTCTTTATAGGCACCTATGATGTGAATGATTCTCTATATGGCTGTTCAAGAACCAAATCAAATAACATGTGCACAGAAACCACACTCACACCCACAATCAAAAGTCTTTGCAGCTCATGTACACTCATGATGCATCCTGGTGCATCCCTGACAGCTCACACCCCAGCTCCATGCTTAGGCTGTTCATCACCAGCAACTCTGCATGTGCCTGCTCAAGCATGGGTGATGCCAGGATCTTCTCATGTGTCCAGATCAAAGGCTGTGTGTGATCGATAATAAGTTATTAGTTCTGTTTTACTGAGTGCAGTTGAGGTCAAAGTTGGGGCCACATCTTTTGTGCAATGGTGTAGCTTGGCTATAAAGACATTTTGATGAAGCGATGAATGGAAAAGAGAGTAAACCAATTCTGTACAACTCATAAAAGGTCCTTATGGCTACTTCTATCAGGGGCTTATAGAGCTCCTGTACTGGGGTGCAAAGTGCTTCGAATCCATCCTCAAGGTAATACACCTCAATCACTGTCTCAAATAAGTCAGCGACTGCCTTGATCTTGGGCTTTGGCTTAGAGGTGGAAGCAGCAGCCCCTCTCTGAAGTTCCTATCTGTCAAGTCATGCAAGACTGCACTACTGACAGTGAGGATATCAGATTGGTTAAAGACTGACCATGGCTTTGGTGATGCTGGGGTCAATAGTGATGCATCCCCTTGACCATCATTGTAATCATGTCAGTGAGCCATTCAATGATTGGGTTCCTTCAAGCCTCTCATGTTGTCTAAATGAGCACTGCAGATGCCTTCCTGCAACTTTATAAGGTGAGAAAGATACATTGCAAGTTTCTCTGCAATGTGCGAGAATGTGATGTTTGTGCAGTGCAGCATGAAGTTCCTGGTACACAAAATGTCTCCAGCAATGCATTGAGATATGAGCACTTGAGATCTTACTGTGTATAGGTGGAATGTTCTATTAGATGTATGGGTATATAACAGACATTCGATAGTGGTGTACATGAGTGCATTGTCTAGAAATTTCAATAGTTCACACTCATTGCATGAGCATTGAGATGAGGCAATGACTTTCATCTATGTAGCATTAGACAGTGGAGAAAGTGTGGCTTTATAATCAGGGTGATTTGCAATGCAGATTTTGTCTAGAATATTGTATATCTCACCAGTCACAAAGCCAATTTATCTCATCGAAGTGGCATTTGAACACTCATATCATAGACTTCCCAATCATATATAGATTTTCATATTTAGCTATTTTGGTTCCTGAGATATAAGCCAAATAATGTGACTGTTGCAAACATTGCAACAGTTTTGTGGCTCACTGTATGTCTGACAGTCAATCAGAATGATGACAAATGTTTTTTAAGCTGTGCAGACCATGATGTCTACCACCAAGAGGACAATGGTGGGACATTTTCTGAGAATGTTGCTCCATTCAAGTGTCAGCCTGTTATCACTGAAGCAACTGCCATCAGATGCTGCCATCTCACTCCTTAACGCTTTTATTGGCTTTTGCAAATGTCTGCTGCAGCATTCAGCTTCATTGAATACAGTTTGTCATGGGTGCATCTTAATTTTATCTTGCCTGCCAATCTCATCACGTGGTGACCAGTGACCAGGCATCTGTGAATAACATTGATGACTCGTCCATCTTAGTGATGTACATCAATAATGGGTTGATTGACTAGAATGCATCATGGTTGCCCAACATGATCCACTGTTCTAAAAGCTGCTCAGGTCATTCTCAGCTCTAGCATCTTTGTGTGGGCACATTGTCTGCTCATGTCTCCTGGCTTTGGTGTGCAGAAACATGGCAGGAGAGTTTAGGCACCATTTGAACTTTCCCTCCAGAACAAGCTCTTGTCAGAAAATAGCTGTCAAGGATATGTTCTAGCATATCATCCACACCGAGCACAACACACACCACTGCATATAGAACAGAGCATCATTCTACTTCCTCCTTGATGTCTTGATCAGCATTTTGCAAATAATGAAATATCATCTGAGCTCTATTTCTTGCATTTCTCCTTTGATGTGCTGTTCTTGCCTGATGTAGTTGATATTGTATGCATTGTATTCTGATGTCACAGTAGAGTACAACATTATCACCATGTGTGCATTCTCGAAAACCTTGGGATTTATTAGTTCAGCCCACTGAGAGTATAAGTTTAACTGAAAGCCAACTGCTTTGCCTTGTGTCATGATGCTCAGTGCAGGTGAAGTGTGCAGCATCCAAAAACAGTGAAAATCAGTACATAAACTCAGTAAATTGCCACATGCAATATTGGGCATCTGTCATCCACAGATAAGTACATTTGAAGAGAGCACAGGCTCTAAAATCACAGCAGAGATGAAGAAACTGACTTATTGTATAGGTGCATATTATGACAATGCATTTTATCCTCAAAAATCAACATTTGCAAGTTCATCACCTGGCAGTTCCCTTTGAGAACTGCATGCTGCTTCACCATCCAGACTTTTGACTCAAAGAGAGCTGGAGCTGAGCAAAGAATGTTGAGCTCAGTGAATAAGATATGTATATGTCATTGAGGGGAGCCTTAAGGTGAAGGAGAGGTTGACGCAGGTGAGATAGAAATGTCATTATGGTGTGAGAACTGCTGAGTGCAGCTGCAACTTGCAATTTCTCCATAGTGACCTGTTGGTCAATATGAGTGAGCTGCCATTCCAACAACCTGATAAACTGCTGGGCCCACACATGATCAACCCAGACTGTTCATCATTGGTCAAGGCTGCATGCTTTTGCTGCATTCATTTCAGCAACATCATTCAGGCTTGGTGCTCCAGAGTGCACAGCATGAGAAGGTCATCATGGTTGTGACAATCAAAGTGACAGAGTAGTCATGCCAAAGTCAACATGATGATGGATATTGCATTGACCTCTTGCAAAAACAGAATGGAAGTGTCCACTGTTAGAATGATGAGCATACCGACAAAGTGTGGGCAGCATGACATATATGTTCATCATGCCCTGCATTGTCATCGGTCTCCTCATCATAGTGGATCCCAGATTCCATCGTTTCTTCACATGCCCCACCTTCAGATGCATCTGTTTGCAATATTGATCAGTTAATGTGATCAATGAGAATATCATTGGCAGTACACGCACTCTGAGAAATTTCTTCACTTTGAAATGCTCCATGCATTTTGGGCACTTCAATGATGTTTTATGAATCTTCTAATGATAATTGCATGCTGAGGAAGACTGTGCTAGTGCAGTTTTGCATGAAGCAGATTGCTTGACACCCTTGCCCTTGCCCTTGAGCTTGGTGGTAAACATGATGATTGAATCAAAGAGTGCAGCTGCACACAATCCCCCATGAGCATGGGGTGTAAGGCATTCCAACAAACCAGAACAGTTAGTGACTGAGCCTGCACAGCCTGACATATGCTTTGACCCCTGCACCACCACTGAGTTTGATCTCACACCACCGAATTTGATCTCACATCAGCACTCAGTTTGGTCTCATGCCATTACACACCTGCTCAATGAGGACATCCTTCAAAGCCACTCTCCCCACATATTGTACTGTCCATATGACTTCATCATCCACTGTGACCTTCATATGCTCCTGCATTGCATGCACTGTGTCACAATCTGGGTCTAGCAACTCTGCACTTCCTGAGTTGATCACCAATCAGCTATATATATCTGAGCCTATGGGCAGTGACTGTGGCTCAGTTTCCCTCCCTCTGTCACGGTGCATTGTGACTCCTGCTTAAAAAGGTAAGAAGCTGGCTGCAAGGTGCTGCCTGTGTCCTGTGACTCATTGCCAGTGGTGGATGATGATATGAAGCAAGAAGGGGTTCAAAGGACCCTTTGCCTTATCTCACACAAAAGGAGGTGGCTGTCAGGCCTCATAAAATAGGTGAATGAAACTGGGGATACCCAGTTCCTCATCGATGCTTATATACATGTATGGCAGAGCCCCTGACACTTGTGCTACTGTGGAACCTCTGGTACCTACATGTGAACAAAATGCCAGAACCAGTAATGGTTCTGGTCTCACCATGACAACTACCTACTATTGGCCGTGAGGTTATCCAATGAGATAAATGTATAACATGGTGCCACCTTTGTCGGTGACTGAAGTGGTGCCACTATTAAGTGGCCAATGGGGTGTCTACTACTTAGTAAGGTGCCTCAGTGTCACATGGGATAGCTGAGCCTTGCAGACTTTGGTGATTGTAGTTAAGCACTAGTTAAGGGTCACGTGCTAGGGGTGCTGGTATGGACACTTGTTTAGATCATGTGACTGGATGCGCTCCTGGTGGATCATAAGTGGCTTCCTGTGACATCTTTGCCTTGTGTCATGTCTAAGGTTTATACTTTGACATGATGCCAAAGGTATATTGGAATTAGAAAACTGTGACATCACCCCTTCTCAGGTTTATGCTCTGAGTAAACTGTCAGATTTTTGTTGGGTGTTTGTAGGTTGGCAAATGTGTAAACAGTGCAGTAACATGTGTAACAGTTTAGTGGACATATTTAGGTCCTTAGGTGCTCAAAGCTGCCAGTTTGAAGTACATGTTCAGGTACTTGGATAACATTTGAGAATGTTGTTATAGGATGGTAACATTGTGTTGGTTTTGCCATGATCTATGATGAGCATCTAGATTGAATTTTCTGATCGATCATGATCCGTGATCTGTGATGGTGATCCATCCTAATGGCTGTGCCCGTTTCTTTATGATGTCAGTCTTATAGATGGCCAGCAAATGTTGGGTGAGTTTCGTGAACATTTTTAGATCCGTATACATTTATGCTTTCATTTTCTTTATAGGTGATTGACTTGTGGTTCAATTCATTGTCACCTTGTATCTTCCCCCTTTATAGAAATGAGCTTGTATGCAAAACAGTTTAATGACATTGTTCAGGTTGAGTGACACTCAAAGCTGCCTAGTAAAATAGTTTAACAACATACTCAGGTTGTGTGGCACTCAAAGCTGCCTAGTGGCACAGTTTAGTTGACTTGCCCAGATCATAGTATCGTATACACTTGTAGTGGCATGGAAGGTGTCTTCAATGTGCCTTGTAGTGTATGGTCTGTTATCAGCTGCTCCTTGGTCTAAGAGTCTGATGCTTCGTTGCAAGTTTTCTCTCCATAGTCATGAGAAATTGCCATGTATGATAATCTTGTTGCCAAAAAAGGTATCACCATTTCCTTTAGTGGTCTTGTAACATACAGTGACCCACAAAACCACCTCGACCTCACAGGGTTCGGGGCTTATTAGCCCGGCATATACTCCCGGGATTGCCGGGCTTGTTAGCTCCGAATCCGCTATCTTCACCGGTTGCCAATAGTGCGCGCAATAGAGTCGGGATTTCCTGTTAAAGCACGACCCTTATCACGTTGCCATTGCTCGTGATCGCCTGAGATAGCGTCGGCATCGTGATCAACGGTGCCGATGGCCCTCCCACCCCGCCACATTACCGACCTCATGGCTCGGAAATCCCCATCCTGCCCTCCACTGCCGCTACCCCGCTCGTTATCATCCCGCCCCTCTCCGCCCTTCCCTCGGAATCCTCTGGCGTTCCTGTTCCTGGCACTTCCCTTCTCGGGGTGCCTGCCTGCTCACGTGCTGCCCACCTTCCGTGCATCCCTTCCGTGCTCCTCGCCATGTGGCGCGTGCACTCGCTCTCACCGATGGTGAGCACACCCCTCTCACGCATTTGCGGCCCAAATTTTGGGTGTGTTCTTTGTGCCTTGGGAGAGGGAACGTGTCATTTCATTTCAATCATCATTAGAAGAGTAGATTCACAAGATAGCTGTTCTAATGACATGTATACTAAGGTGCACGAAAAATTTACACCCTCCATGATTCCATATGCAAAATCCATGGATCAGTACTGTAGAGCCACACAGATGACATGAAAAATGTCAATGTTTGAGCAGATGAGCAGAGAACGAAGCACTCGGGGAGGGGGGAGAGGCAAGCTCACCGGCTTATCACAGAATGAAAGTTGGGCACACGACAACCACATCATGTAGAATATATCAGCTGCCATCACATTCCTGCAGGAGGTGCAAAAGCGATCGCGGTGCCAGGCGTCAGTGAAGAAGTAGAGAGAGAGGTGTTGGTGGCGGTGGCGGCAGCACCTGAGAGCAGCGTCGGAGCATGGTTCTCGTCACCAGCGACGTGCTTCTTCTTCCTGGGGATGCCCTTGTCCTTGCGCATAGCCCGAGGCTTCTTGGTGACAGTGACTAACCCGCCTCCTGCACCAGAAATGATATTGATGAAGTCTGCAGACCCGCTCTGCATGCGGAGTTTCTTTGCAGGTCGCGCATCAGCAGCTGCTGATCTCTCTTGCATAGGCTCGATGTTGCGACTGGACTCCGCGAAAGGGCCAGCATGCAAGACTGTTGCTGCGTTGATCGGCATCGAGGGAGTGACGGCAGCACTGGCGATAGCTTGTGAGATAGTATTTGATGTGTCTCCTGCCTGGACCGCAATGTGCAGGGCTTCTGTCATGTTGCTTGAAATATCGGCTTCATCCCCAGGCCAATCAATCTCGTCCCCGCGCTCATCCTCACGCTCGCCCTCTTTGCCCTCAGCAACCATGCAGTCAGTGCGAGACTCTTTCCAAGCCTTGAACTCGATGGGATTCATCTTGTAGAAGTGTGTTGCACCCGTCTGCCATGCATGAAGGATGACGTCTAGCTCGTCACGCGACCTGATATCACTCGGCAAGCAAAACTGCTTGAGAGGCTAGCCCTTCATGATAACACCATATTTGAGGGTGATCTTTGACTCAAAGTTGGTATAGTACATGCGTGAGACCTTATACTGTGCGGCAGCATCTATAAAAATGCGAATTCAATGCGATATCACCATATAAAGATGCCAGAATACTTACACAATTTCGCATATATAATTGAATTTATCTCGCTTCGAGTAGCTGCCATGTAATCACGAGTCTTGTTCAACACTCCTGAGGCTCAGTTAGCCATAGCTCAGGCCGCAATGCAGCTGGTGACGTTGAATGCCACTGAGGCAGAATGCCTCCATTTGCACTCCAATATCAGGAAGTTGCTTGCCGAGAATGACATTGAAATAGTCAGCCAGACGCGTGCTAGTGTTGAAAATGTATGGCCGGTTGTAGTGATCAAGACTTGATCACACGGCGATAAGCACGACTTCTGTGCCTGTGCGAGCATTGAGGGCTTGCAGCTATATAAATGTGTTAACTCGGAGACTACAATTACACAGCTATGATGCTCACCTGGTGTTCGATGCTAGCGAGATTACTACGCACATCGTGAAATGCGTTGATGGGAATGTTGTGCGCGCTCAGCTTGCGCATCTCCCGAGTCTCGTTCAGCTTCTCAACCAATGGTTTGGTATATTCGGTACGCTCTTCGAGGGACATGGTGTCCCACTTCTCCTTGGTGCCAGGCAGTAGGTTGTTTGACTTGTAATGCTGCGCGCCTTCAGGTAATGCTGTATATGAGGAGATTCTTTCATTAAGATTTGTGTAAATCAAGAATGATATTGCGTAGTATGCTCACCAGTGTTTGCCTTGTTCAGCTCATCTTTGATAAATGTGTTCCACGGGTTGACTCTGCGTTCTGAGTTCGCAACGCATGTGAGTTGAACGAGTCCCTGGCGATAATACTCGGCACTGTGGTCTTGTAGCTCGTTGTGCAAGGACTCAGCTTGTTCCCTCACATGAGATTGGGCTGTGTCGACAGCATCTGCAACAGCTTTCTTCCTGCTGTCGCGTTTGGCTGCCTCTATGGCCTTCTCGGCAGGGGCTTTCTTCTTACCCTTCTGACTAGTGGTAGATTGCCATGGCACTCACATGAGGTTCGTTGACAATGAGCGAGTCTGAGTCGTATAACGTGCGAGGTCAGGCTGCTTCGCCATGGGAAAGTTTCAGTGACAGGCAAGAGGGTGGACCCACAGCGAAAAATAGAGGCTCAACATTGTCACGTGATAGCTGGTAATTGACAGGGACTAAGTGTCCTAGCTAACTGCATCAAGGGGGGAGTGAATATCATCAAAGAGACAATGTTTTAAAGTACAAGCCATTCTCTTAGAGGACTGATACCTCAGCCCGTTCTCGGCTGGGTCGAATATACTTCCACAACCACTTCGCCTCCCTCACTGGCAGCCCAGCCAAAGCAAGCTGGTCCGTAAACTCAGCCAATGTTGTGCTTATTGAATGCACATGAACAATCTGCATCACTGACTAGTGAGTATACCCATGTGCATGAACATAATCGTCACTGATCTTGCCGACAGACAGCGTAGGTGTTGGATCATCATACGACTCTTGAAGGGTCTGTCTGATACCAGCCAATGTCCATACATGCTGATACACATATGCAGGCAAAGGAGCTTCTGTAAGGGCATCTGTGCAGATGGAAGGTGCAGAAGGGGGACCATTCTTGATGTGTACATGACGAGATGCATCATACATCATGCCAGATGTTGCACTCATTGGCTGCCTGCTTGGCGTAGTGACTCGCATGGGTTTGGGGGCTCGCATTGCTTGCATGCATATGTTGCTAGGTGTGTTCAATGTCTGCAACCATGTGAGGCCAGCCACTCGGGTCGGAGTCTGTGGACACTGAGCAGTGGCTGTCGCAGTATCGCCTTACGTCAATTAGCATTATCGGAATAGCTATGAAAGAAAGCAAGATACTCACCGTGCATCATTAAGACCGTCTGAAACCTCTCCTGTAAGTCACCTTCATCGACACCTATACAGTTTTTGTGAGCACGAGCACGCACGAGCAAGGTGATGCCGAGAGATCAGACTTCTTACCTCCACTGAGCCCCCTAACCTCCGATTTCTGTCGCATCTCATGATTGTTGCGAGCACCTTTCATGAGCATGTACTTGAGTGCCTGTTGGAATGCAGGTGCATGGTTCTCCCCTGTAATCTTCTTGAAAATAGCCTTGGGAAGACCGTTCGTTTGGATGCGCATTTCGTCACTAGTAATAAGCGATAATAATCATTGCTTCGCATTACATGAACAAAGTAAAGGACTCACACTGTGAGATATATACTGGAGACATGCCCATAGACTATGCAATAGTATGCGCGCACATTGGGCAAGATCGTGCGGGCGATTGTAGAATGCATGATGATTTCTACTGCGTGCTCAGTCTCATTATGTGCAGTCCGAAGCTCCTTGAGTTCCTCATTCAGATGATCAACATCCCTCGCCTGCTCGATAGTGTTGCATTTCACCATGACTGGCAATGGTGGCGTGAACCTCCCTCCCGACATTGAAACCCTGTCACAGTGCGTCAGTATCACTCAAGGCTATTGGGAGCTTAACATGCTCACTCTGAGGTCTTGATGCCCGGATAGTATCCTCCAAGAATAACGTAGAAAGGCCCAGATGAAGCCAGCTGAAATTGAGTCTGAGGAGGGACCATGGTTTGAGCAGAAGCAGGCTGTGGCATTTAAAGTGATCGCGCGGATTGCAACTTGAGTTGTTGGTGGCACAGCAATCCACTGATGCGCTGCCCACTGGTTCAAGCTCATATGGCTGCAATGATGAATCTGAGTTCCATAATTCATATGTATCTCTCTGAAGTGTCTTTCCATGATACAGACTTGGTAAAGGGGTGCTTACGACATTATAACTTATGTATTCATTATATCCAGCCCGGTCTGTCGCATTCTTTCACAGATTGAGTCAGCACGTTTTGCTCTTTCATAGTTTGGAAGTGTAAAGAATAAATTCTAATGCCTAAGTTCATGCAGGAAGATTTAAAACATAGTCTACAATGCCGCCAATATCTCCACGTGAGTCCTCATCCTCTCCGAGATCCTGCATATCCTCTTCACAATCATCAGCCTCAATCTCCTTGAGCTCGTTATTGGGCTGGGACGCCACTGGTGACTCGATGCCCACTGATACAAGTGTGCCCTTCCTGCAACTGATATTGTGACTTCCAGTGAAGCCGGTGAGGTTATGAATTTGGTACAAACGTGCGAGCACTCGCATGTTGATGCGACGGCGATGGATACAATAGTCTGCGACAGCACCATAAAGTGGGTTTGCATGCACCTCGAGACATGTTAGCACCGTGTCAAATGTGTGGCCCTCATCGTGAATGCACGTCTGTACTCAGCAGATCTCGACATTGAGATGTTCCAATTCTTCATGAGCACGCGCAAGCCGGTTTGCCTGCTTCATCACCGCACACACTGCAGGATGAGCCCATGGCTTCTCATGCAGAATATTGCCAGTGTCACGGAGAAGGTTAAATTCTTCGAGGAACGTGTAATGCGTCACCTTGTTCCAGTCAAGTGTCGGGCGTGGTGGTGTCATCTTGACAGCAAGTGCATTGTAGGTATCAACTGCATTGTGAATAGCTTTGCAGCGTGTTTGCAATGATTTTACGATATGTGTCCGTATGCGATATGCTGGTAACGAATTTTTGAGATATGTAATATATGACTGCAGACCATAGAACTTACCGGTCTGTGCGAGATTCATATTGTGCAACTCGAACAGCTGCTGAATGACCAGCCGCTGAAGGTTGTCAACTGCGCGGTGGTACTTGCGATGCCTGATGTACTCCATAGTCTTTCTGTACTCCTGCGACGTGGGCTGCCAATGGTCGACAATGCACATACGAACTTCCATGTCAATCACATCACGTAGAACTTGCATGCGACGTTCAGATACATGGTGCCGTTGTCGCTCAAGCTTGTGCGTCCGTGAAAGTTCTTGACTGTAGATGGGATGTGACTTGCCGGTCAATGATGGCGACATGAATTCGTAGTCGGAAGGAGTTGTCATCAGGAAGCTTGCCGTTGCGTTTGCATGCTGCTCCCTATAGCATAACATGTTAGTATCACAGCCCTCGAGACATGAAAGAACCTACTCGAGGGCATAGTATTCTTGTAGCAACTCAACATAGGCCACCGCCCAAACATCCCACTCCGACTCCTCTTCGATGTTTGCAAAGTACTCCACCTTCTCCTTACACCATCGAGCGATGTCATCATCCGTGATGCCAAGTGACCCTTTTGCTTTGTCAAATTGCACAGCTTCACTATTGAGGATATCGAGTGCCTGCCGATAGTTGTTGTACAGGAAGGTGCCGACGCTCGCATAGCAATCCATGTCCCATTGCTTGAAGAACATGTCAATCAGTGATCGACGGCGATACTGGCTGGTGTATCATGTAATGGAGGCGAGCTGGTTTGAGGCACTGAAGATGTGCTCCATTGTCTCCAAGTCCTCGAGCCCCATGCCTTCAATGATATTTGGATGGTTCTTTGTTTGACATGCGTGATTGTGGGTATAGCCGTGGAAGGCGTTCACGCATAGGCTTGCCCTGAGATGTTGGAACTTAGGACCGAGGCAGCTCTCAAGGATGGTAATGAGGAAGCTGCATGCGATGTCGTAGCCACCCATTGACCGTGGGCCGAGGAGTTCAAGGGCTTTTGCTACCATTGCGAGAGGATACTTTGCTCTATGAATAGTTAGCATCATAGAGTGCGGGGCAGTGAGAACTTACAATTCACCACTACAGATCATATCTGCAATCCATAGGATGAGGCCGTGTCGGCAGGCACTTGCAAAGATCCCCGTCTCTTCGAAGATGCCCCACATCTTCTTCTTCTCCTCAGACGCCACGGATTTCCAGTTTTGCATACACGTGCAAGTGGCGGAGTCAACGTTCATGCTGTCTGTGAGATTCGCATCGTTGTCGGCATCGACTTCATGATCAGGCATGATCTGGGACTCGTCCTCTTGCGCCACATGATCCCACCTCGACTTCACCTCATTTGCATATTGGTCGATGAATTCAGAACTCAGAAAGTAATCGCTGTCTTCGAAAGTACGAGTGTCGCCCACACGGCGGTTGCCAATCTTCGCAATCCGCTTCAACGAATTGTTGCCGTCGAAGCAGTACATACGACCGAAATGAAGCGAAGGCTCATTTTCAAGCTGAGGGAATATTAGTGTGAATAAGTGCAGTGAAATGTCACCACTTACCTCATAACAACAGGCTGGGCATGCATTGAGCACTCGCCAGTTCGGTGTGTCCCGACCGAGTGCCTCTTGAACGTGTTTCTCGATTTTTTGATGAATCGAGAGGTAGATATCGAATGCGTCGCTCAAAGCTAAGCGATATCTTCGTCTGTATGGTATCTATGGATAGATCAGTAATAACAAATAGGAACATTCGGATAAACTCATGGCATAATAGTCACATAAGACCTTTGCAAAGGCCTCAGCACTGAAGGATGCCTTCCGCAGTCGAAGGCGACGGAATAACTCTAGAGTCTTGAATGATATAGCCAGTGTGGGATCGATGGGTGTCGTTGGGAGATATCCTTGAGCAGCGACAGCCTCTGCTTGAGAACGACTCTCGCAGGACCGTGGGATGCGCACTGTCGTGTCGAGGGTATAGATGTCAATGACCTCGATTGTGAAGCTGTAGTCGTCGTCATCAGGGCACATTTCCATGCTCAAAGGCAGTCGAGATAATGGCAGGGCATCTGAAGTGGCTGGATGGTCAGGAGCCGAAGGATAGCACCAAGCGAGGTAGATATCGGTGAGAGCGTCAAGCAGAGGGGCCCAGTTGGCTTGCACATGCTCAAGGCAAAGCCGCCAGGTACGTGCATCCTTGTACCATCTTCCTTTCCATCTGGGAAGCCAATGAGTATCCTCAATCACAAAGAAGAATAACACTCACCGGCTAGAGATGATATCTCGGACAGCATAAGCAAACGACCCCTCTTCATCATCTGGGAGCGTTTCCCAGTCCATTACATCCCCTCCTTCACCAGATGACATGGGAATACCATCGTCTATGACCTCAGAAGGGATCTCTTCTCCACGGATTTGGGACAAAAGCTCACGTGACTCGGCACTAAGGCCTAATAGACAGCATTGAAATTATCTCCAATAGATGTTTTCCAGAGGCTACTCACCTGCAGTCTCTCGCTCAAGTCCATCTTTCATCTTCTCCCTGTGACGGCGGACGTCAGCTTGCTTCAAGACAGAGCTTTTGATTCACCAGGATCGGGTGCCACTAGCAGATGTAGCTGGCTGGAGATGCGCACTGAGCGCGAGGTTCCCGAAGATTTTTTGCTCTTGCCCATTGTGCATCATCAGACAGCCAGCAGATGTGTATGACAGAGAGCAGACCAGCCAGAACAGCGTACAAGGGGTAGCATGGACGTCGGTGATGCGCACCGCACTTGCAGTCAACAAGGTCATGTGACCGTGCACTAAGACATTTTACTCGTTTTAATGGTTCAATTGCATATATTATATACTTCTAAAATGATAGCAATGCATGAGATGGTCGTGCTGACCATTGACGAGAGAGCGTGCACGCCGCATGGCAGGAAGTGCCAGAGGGAGGTGCACAACAGGTGAGCAGGCAGGGAGCGCTGGGAGGGAGGCACGCAGCACGTGAGCAGGCGGGCACCCTGAGAAGGGAAGCGCCAGGAACAGGGACGCCGGAGGATTCTGAGGGAAGGGCAGGGAGGGGCGGGATGATCACGAG